AAATAATTTGCAATATTAGCATGTGATTATTATAGCATATGATTGGATACTGTTGATAAGTAACTTTACATAACTAAAGTTGGCACATAATAGGAGTTCTGAAAACCATCCTAAAAAAAAAACCTGCCTCTGAAATGTAGTTTTATCAAATAGTTGGTACTTGATCAATGAAGTCAGTTACAATTCCTTGCATAATAGTATGTAAATTGAACTAAATTTTATGCTTTTCCCAAATAAAGAAGGCAGGTCCTAACAAATGGTGTATTTTAATTTTCTTTTGGTTGATCATGTTGTTTTCTTTTTGTGCTACTTGCTGTAAATAGTGTAATTTCACAATGCTGACAGGCTATATACAAAATACTGCGGTGAAACAGGGAACTAGATTACTCTGTATATACTGACAAATCTTTTGTTAATGTGTGTTCAATAAAGTTAAAATAGCAAGTGTTATTAAACTAGGGGAAAAACAATGAAAATTATGAATGTTCTTTTGTTTGCTGGTGCATGTGCCACAGTGCTTTTTTTTTCTTTCCTCTAAAAAATAGTTTTATTGAAATAAGACAGGAAGGGGAAAAGCTACAGCATAAAAGTGCAATAGCAATGAAGGTATTTGTTTCAGTGCTGTCTCAAGTTCTATGAGCACCTTTTTTTCATTTTTCAGGCAGTACAGAGAATATTAAATGCTATTCTGCTTTCAATTAAACAGCAGCATTAAAGGTATCATAAAAGTTTAAGAATTCCAAGTCATGGACCTGGAGGTGGTATTTCAGAAATGAATTAAAGTGTTCTTTACCTTTATTTAGTAAAGTCACAATGTTGTCCTGAACTGATTGTGTAATGAATCAAATTTGAAAATATCACATAGGGGAACTATTATCTAGAGACCCTTTTGCTTGTATTGTTTCACATGAGTCTGCTTGGAAGGCATTGTTCTCTTGGAGGAGTAGGCTGCCTTTGTTTTTTCTGGACTTCAGAGAACATTCTGTGAACTCTTCAGGGAGCTGCTTGGCAGGTTGGCATGGGATAATGCCCTGAAGGGAAGAGGGACCCAAGAAAGCTTGTCAGTATTCAAGGACCATCTTCTTCACATCCAGAAGCAGTCCATCTTGAGAGAGAGGAAGGCGGGCAAGAATGCCAGGACTCTTCCATGGATTATTTAGAATTTCCTGGACTTAACATGAATAGAAAGCCTATAGGTAGTGTAGGCAGGAATGAGTTACCTGGAAGGATACGAAGAAGTAGTAGTTAGAATCAAATCTAGCAAGGGACATAAAGGGGAACAAGAAGAAATTCTACAGGTTTATCAGGGTTAAAAGGTAAGGAAGATGTGGTCTATCTCTGAAAGGAAACTGGAGACCTGGTCACAAAAGATATGAAGAAAACTAAGGTGCTCAATGACTTCTTTGCTTCAGGCTTCACTGGCAAGGGCTCTAGTCACACTGCCCAAGCTGCAGAAAGCAGAAGTAAGAACTGGGAAAAGGAAGATGTGCTTGCTGTAAGTGAAGATCAGGTTTGAGACCATTTAAAGAATCTGAACATGCTGAAGTCCATGGGACCTGATGAGATCCATCCACAGGTTTTCAGGGAACTGGCAGGTGAAGTTGCCAAGCTCTTATCCATCATACTTCAAAGCTTGTGGCAGTCTGGTGAAGTTCCTGCTGACTGGAAAAGAGGAAACACAGCCCCAGTTTTCAAGAAGAGGAAAAAAAGATAGAGGGAACTATGGACCAGTTGGTCTCACCTCTGTGCCTGACAAGATCATGCAGCAGATCCTCCTGAAGATCCTACTAAAGCACACAAAAAAACAAAGATGAGGTGATGGGTGGTAGCTAACATGGCTTCAGCAAGGGCAAATAGTGCCTGACAAACTTGCTGACCTTTTTTTGATGGAGTTATGGCATTCATAGATAAATGAAGAGCAATTGATATAATGTGCCTGAACTTGTGCAAGCTTTTGCCACTGTCCCACATGACATCCTCGTCACCAAACTGGGGAGAAGTAGATTTAATGGATGGACAACTCGCTGAATGAGGAACTGGCTTAACGGTTGCTCTCAGAGTTGCAGTCAATTGCTCAGTGTCCAAATGGAGATTGGTAATGAGCGGCGTTCCTCAGAGATTAATGCTGGGGCCAGTGTTGATTAACATCTTTGTAGGCATCATGGATTGTGGGTTTGAGTGCACCCTCAGCAAGGTTGCAGGTGACAGCAAGCTGAGTGGTGCAGGTGATATGTTAGAGGGAAGGGGTGCCATTCAGAGGTACCTGGACAGGCTTGAGAGCTGGGCCCATGCCAACCTCATGAAGTTCAATAAAGCCAAGAGCAAAGTCCTGCACCTAGCTTGGGGCAATCCCAAGCACAAATACAGGCTGGGCAGAGAATGGCTTAAGAGCAGCCCTGAGGGGAGGGATTTGAGTGTCTGTTAATGCAAGACTCAACGTGAGCTGGCAGTGTGTGCTTGCAGCCCAGAAGCCCAACTGTATTCTGGGTTGCATTGAGAGAATCTTGACCAGCAGATCAAGGGAAGTGATTCTGCCCCTCTTCTCTGCTCTTGCAAGGTTCCACCTGGAGTATTTCATCAGTTCTAGGGCCCCCAACACAAGGATATCAAGCTGTTGGAGTGGGTCCAGAGGAAAGCCATGGAGATGATCAGAGCGCTGGGGTGCCTCCCCTATGAGGACAGGGTGAGAGCTGGAGCTCTTCAGCCTGGAGAAAAGAAGGCTCTGAGGGGACTTTGTAGTGCCCTTCTGGTACCTGAAGGGGCCTACAGGAAAGCTGGGGAGGGGCTTTTTAGAAGAGCAGGTAGTAGTGACAGAACAAGGAAAAATGCTTTAAACTGAAAGAGAGTAGATTAAGACTAGATAAAAGGAAGACATTCTTTACTGTGAGTATGGTGAGACACTGGAACAGGTTGCCCCCTCCCTGGAGGTGTTCAAGGCTAGGCTGGATGGGGCTTTGAGCAATATGGTCTAGAGGAACGTGTCTCTGCCTATAGCAGGGGGTTGAAACTGGATGATCTTAAAGGTCTCTTCCAACTCAAACCATTCTGTGATTCTATGTACTTGCAGTTACTTCCGTTCTATATCAGAGCTAGATGCACTGGCTACTAAGCTGTGGGTTCCGAGTCACATCCCAGTGTCCTGCTAATATAACCAGCCTCTGTGGTGACTCTGACAGTGTGATTTGCATATAGCCTGGTGAAGGTAAAGCTGGTCCTGTTATGGCAAAGGAGAGGCTGGGTGTCTGGGGATCCCCAGTGGAGACCCAGTTGTCTCCTGGAGCTGCCCTGCTCAGCCCAAAGCACCTCCATTTCTGAGGCTGGGAGATGCCAAGCAGTTTCTCATGAGTGAAACTGAATCATCTTTAAATGGGCAGATTTGATATTTGATATCACAGCACTAGAGCAATTTTTATAATGAATGCATTTCCCTTGCATTAGCTACAGCATGAAAATATCTTCTCTGCCAGTTTTCTATATTGGTTTTTCTTTTTTTATAGTATACATTGCATATTCATAGTAAACACGTGTAGATGTAAGGGTATGTCTGCTATGGTGTGATTTGTTATGATTGTGCAAGCACTTTCTTGAAATGAAGCTTGCTTGCTGGCATTTGCCATACAGACTAACTGTGGGGCAGCCAGGTTTCACCATATGCCTTCTGAATCTTCATTTTGACCTCTGTGTGATTGTATGTACTGTTTCATACTGCTTTTTAGTCCTTGCTATGATTGAAAAAAAAGTAAAAACCCAGGAAGATGGTACATATAATAAATCAGTCCAGTATTTTTCTATCCTCTTCCACTCTAAGCACCTCAAAACACTTTTCCTTGATTAACTTCAACTCATTAAAAAAAAGAAAATCTGCTTTTAACCAGGCACTATAAATGGGGAATTCTTGAGGCAGTGGAGGACTCTCTCATAAAATAAAAGAAGGGATGGGTGTCCAGACTGGTTTTGTCATTACTGGTCTCACAGCTTCACCCACTGAATCGCTGCTAAAGCAACGTAATTTATAATTATATGTATTTCCAAGTGTCAGGACTTCTCATTTAAAGCTTAACTCTTTGAGCTTAACTTTTAAATCCCTGTGGAAAGGAAAGGCTTTTAAAATACTTATTAAATTCTAATCTTAATCGTATTCATCATTATTAAAATTTGAAATAGGTTGAAATACTTAAGGTAAGTGAAATGAAAAAACTAATAAAGGACATGCAACACACTGGAGAAATGGAAGAATAATTGCTAAAGATTAAGAAATCTAAAACGGTCAAACACGAGAAAGCCTCCCTTTCCAAGAAGCTTTTATTTAAAAGTTTTGCAATAACTGAAAAATATAAAAAGGAATTTTAAAAATGAATCAAACATTAAGTGCAGCAGACTGGCAAGGAATATTTAAATGCATTAAAACTTAAACTTTGGGCTTCAAGAATGATTCAGGCCATGCCTAAACCATGCCATAACATGGTTGTCGCCTCCTCTTTGGCAGACTCAACAACTCACTGTTGTTGTTGATACTTGTAATAATTATTGAGATAAGAATAATAATAGTGTCTAGAAGTGCCAAGGTACTGTGGCTGAAGGCAGTAGCTTGTGCAGTCTTCTACAGGTGGAACTTTTCAAACGATGTGTAATATGAACTTGGAAGAAAAGGATCTCTTCCAGTATTTTGCTTTCTAGTTAAAAATTATAAAGATGCAATCAAAACACCGGGCTTCTATTGTATCACTTTTTTTTAAACTGTGCTGGTGAATGGAAGATGCCTCAGTGTGAGTGTTGCCTGGTTTATTAGAACATATTTGAGAACCGTTTTTCAAAATCTGGGTGGACTTCTGAGTCAGACAGAGAACTGTCATACACTAGGAACTTTAGGGGGAACAACTTTTTGTGTTGTGCACTGTGTACAGTGTGGATCCATGTATAATGTACCTTACTTGTATATGAGAAATTAGAATTAAGTATTTAAGAAAAAACATTGAATTTGATCTTTTTGTTTGTTTTAGGGATGACTTACCTTGACCATGCAGGTTCCACACTTTTCCCTGAAAGTCTACTTACAGCTTTTACAGATGACCTCAGAAACAATGTTTATAGTAAGTATGAATCAATGTTTCCATTATTATTCTCATTATTCTTTTCACCTAAGTAGTTCAAAACTAGGCCTGCTGAGTTGTTGGAAGATAGGTTTTTCACACTGCTATAGAGCAGTTGGAAGACCAGTGATTTTACGGTGAGGTCGCATCTCTTTAGATCTCCCTTGCTTTGCTTTTTAGTGGCTGAGGACATGTCTTTGTGGTGGGATGCAGACAAATGGGAACTGCTCTCCTGCCGTTGTCCAGGGCTGCTTTCACCCTTGTGAATCTTGACCTTTTTAATAGGTGGACAAAGGAACCTAAACACGAGGTTGTTACTGAAAGGTAGCTGCTGCTCTTTTTGCACATAGTGAGGGAAGCCAGCCTACAGACTGCCAGAAATTGGCAGTAGATGGTGGATAGTATGACAACAAGAGAAGTACAGAGCAGTTGTGTGGGACTAGGTTATGTAGACCCTTCACTGTTGTGACTGTGGTTCATCATAAGCATTTTGTTTGAAAGAAAGCTTAACATAGAGTGGAGTTAGGCAGAGAATAGGTGCTAAACCTCTTCTGGTCCGCTGCAGTTTGGTACTTAAAAAAGGAATGTGAATTTGATGTGTTTGTAATTGCACAGTATCTGGATGGAGGTGTAGTTATTAAGGCTTTAGGGCAGTATAGTGCTACCTAGTATTATTTCTTTCCTGGATCTTCCACTTAAATTCTTCAGTCTCTTCAGGGACATTATCATCTCTCTGAGAACCCCATGCTGCTTGTGCTTTTAAACAAAGACAGCATCCTTTGTTTGGAAGTTATTGTTATGGTGAGACACAGTTTACGTTAGAAGAGACTCATCTAGGAGAAAAAAAAAAAATGCTTTGCAGTATTACCTATATATGCTATTAGTAGTCCCTCTGAAGTCATCAAAATTTCTTATTGTGTGTTAATGTCTGTGGGCTAGATGTCCTTTTTTCTGGTTTTATGTATTCCTTTTGCTCCCTGATCCATTGAGCAAAGTGTTTCCTCATCTGGGAACTAGATATCACTCTTCAAAAGAGAACTGTGTTCATTAAAGCGCCAGCATGTGCTTATAACCTGGGTGATAAGCCACAGAGAAGTTTTGGCAAAACTTCATGTCATGCGACATTGTCTGTAGCATTTTCCCCTCTTGTTTCCTGAATGTTGACAAGTCCCGGATCCGATGTGAATTTAAGTTCTTCTATGAACTAGATGTTATTCTTAATAAGGGTAGCCTTTTTGTTTTTTTGGAGTTACAAAAGGATGCACTGATTTGATGACGTACAAAATCTCTTACGGTAGTGAATGTCAGTGATATTAAAATTAATGTTCTGTCACTGCAGCCATTGCGAGGTGAAACATATGCACTCTGATCTTAGTTACTTCAAACAAATTTGGGCTTGGCCCTTCTAATTAGAAGTGCCATCTGTGGCAGAAAAAATTAAATCTGTGAATCAATTGAGTGGTCATGAATAGAAATAGTAATGCTGCCAGATTTTCACAGTACCTATAATGCTATGTGAGAACAAATTCCATGTTTGACACTGCTTTAAAATGATAATGTAATCCCTAGCCTGGTGAAATTTTTTTTTCCTCACTTATATCTCTGCTACTCTAAGGGCAGTAACTGTTGTATGAGTTTATTTGATGGACACAGGTGTGAATGAAGGGGAAATTTAGCTTGCCCTTTTGTATTTTCTTGGTGAAAATCTACAGGCCTAAAGAACTACGTTTAAGATACTGTATGTGTAAATGAGAGGAAGGGATGTAAGTAAAAGAGATTCTCACTTCTAAATTGAGAATATTTGAACTGGAAATTACAGAAATGCAACATCAGATGTAAAAAATAAAAATAAAAAATTCAGAGCTCAAACCTTAGATGTAGTACCTAGACATTATTATTCTTGTTAACGCTTTCACTCGACATGCTTTGTAACACCTTCACTGATTTTGAAATTTTAAAATAAGTAGATTTTATTGTAAATTACTGAATAGTGTATTAATTGGTAACTTTTTTCTTGTTCTCTTTCAAAAATGCTTACGTGTTTTCCTAAGGATTTATTGAAAGGAAAGCATGTTGTTCATCTGTGGATGTTGGTTTAGCTTATTTTGCTCAAGGAGGTAAATTTATGCCCTTCTTAGGTACTGTTTTAATTGTTAACATCTGTCTGTTCTGAGCTGTACTAAGGTGGCCACTGATGTTGCAGTGAAATTTTTATTTTCATGAGCAATATGAGCATAAGTGGTGTCCAGTAATGAATGTCTGCTACCTCCATATGATGTCTGTTAACTATGTCTTAGTCCCTGAATGTATTTATTAATGTGCATTCTGTCTCAGCTTTTTTTTGCTAGCCTATTTGTACAGATGCAGTTGTATTTTTGTTAAGGGAACTGCTTAAGTACTAGTAACAGATACTGAAGCTGAAGTTTCAAGGTCTGTCATAATTGTTTTCTTTAGTTATATGTCTTGACTAACTGTTCCAAGGAGCTTCAGGGCATTGCCTGCAAAGTAAATATTAAATCTTTCTTGGTCATTTTTTCAGGCTGGCTTGGTGTAATACTTTGTTAAAAGAAAAAAAAATTAGTACCTATGTTGTGATTTATGATTAACTTCTATTTCTCCATTGTCTCCTAGGCAACCCTCATAGTCAGAATATCAGCAGCAAACTGACATACGACACAATTGAGCATGTCCGATACAGGTAGAATAATCTTTCTTTCAGACGTTGTGTGATGCACTTGATATTTTTCATTTTGTTTAGGCCTGTGCTGTTTGGATCATTTTGATGTGATGCCATTTTCTGAGGTTTGTCTGTCGCATCTACAGAGAATACCTTGCACACAGGCAGTCAAATGTTGAATGCAGTCTGAGACAATCTATTTCTTCTTCTCCCAGTTGTCCCAATTCTCCAATTCCTGTTATTAAATTAGTGCTGTAATGTAAGTCTACAATTTTAATTAAGATCTAGAATTTAGAATTTCAAATGTGAATATTAATAAGATGGTAAAGTAGATAGTAAAGTGGAATGAGTGCAAAGACGTTGCTGAAATTCAGATGACTTTATTTAAAGTGCAGTGGTTTGGAGTAGTTTATAAAAAAGAGTATGTTCTTCACAGAAAGACTAATAAAGGCATGCATACTTGTGCAACAGATACTTCTACTGAGATAACAGCTTTTAAACTTTGTTTATTGTCACTTAGTTCAAAAGGACAAATAAAATACAGTTGAGCATCATGGCAAGAAGGAACTGAATCTCTAAAAAACTCCTTGCACGAGTTCAGAAATAAGTGCTCTGAAAGCTGTTTTTTGCCATTGGTTTGTGCAAAGTGAAGAAGTACACAATGTAGGTACTTAGTTTAACATCTTGAGGGTTTTTTATGTGCCTCTTGCTATTTTATAAAATGTCTTCGTTGCTAGATATGCATGCTTCGACCAGAGTTGATTGGCCTGCTTTTAATGGCACTCTTTGCCCAGGGTGAGAAATGTCACAGATTCCTTTATTATCATCATCTTGAAAGCAAACCTTTCTCCAAAACACATTACAGAATTCAGATCAATAGCAGTGGAACTATAGCATTGTAGTGCTCGGAGTTAGAATGAAAAAAATCTGCTTTACATCTTTTTGCCTTTTCTCAGTGCCCTTTTATAAGGGTGTAAAAAGAAGAAAACAACACCAAAAACATAAAACAAAAACCAAACAACAAAACCATGAGATTTTTAGCTGCGTGATGGTGCTGGGTATAAACTTTCTCCTTTTTTTTTTTTTTTCTTCCCCTAAGTGTTCTGAAAAAGTATTCTTTCCTTTTTCCCAACTCTGTCTTATGCCGAGCAGGATAAGACAATCTGTTAACACAAGCCTAAGTGAGATAGAAAGAATCTATGAGGAAGGGCTGTCTTCAACATCAGATGCTTAGGACCATGTACAGCAGTACCTACAGTCCCGCAGTCTGCTGAGCTTGCCTGTGTGATCACATGCAGTGTTCAACTTGTGGTTTTAATTTACTGTAATATTCCAGTGTTGCCATTGAATCATTTTTCTTATGAAGGTACAATAGAAAGTGTTCTTTGTAGCTGTTTCTGGAATAACTTCTATAATACTGTATGCACTTCATGGACAAGGTACAAAGAAATAGACCTTTTCCGTATATTTAAGATTTATTTAAGAAAGAACATAGATTTCTTATAGAAAGCCAGCAGCTTCAGCTTATTTTATCTTGGATCCTATTTTTTTAAGTGACTTTTGTAACAGCTGCATGGAAGATGCCATAAGCATACCAGTATTTTCATTTTTTTTTCTCCTGAAAATAAGTAAATGAATGAAGAGCACTCTGCATCCAAATGAACATTTCCAGTCTTGCAAATGTAATTTGCCAGCTAGTCCTGTAGATATTCTGCAATTATTCCCCAATAAAAGTTTTAAAAGCATAATCATAAAAAAAGACACAGTTGTAAAGTTGTAAAAATTTGGAAAGAAAATGCCCTAGAAACCTGTCAGTTATCTAAAAGCCAATAAAAGAATATTAAATATCTATGCTTCCATGCTCTTGCAGCTAGTCAAAACAAGCAGTAAGACAAAAGGGAGGCAGGCAGTTTTGTCCTATATCAGAGCTCACAGGCTAGATTTCCTCGATGAAGCAATAATTCTGTGGGTAATTTCAGATACCTGAAAACAATTCGCTTCCTTACAGTTCTGCTTTTGGTGCATGGCAGCAGCCAGAAGTGTAACTTCTATTTGTGATCAACTCCTGTGACCTTATGATTATTTTTTCTAATTTTTTGATTTGGTTTTCTGATGAGATGCCACGGGCAAGTAATCAGGTATGGAATAATAGGATGGTTTGAGTTGGAATGGACCTTTTAAATAACATCTAGTCCAATCCTTGTAATAAATCTTTAAGATGAATACAAAACTTAGTTGCTAATTTGTATTTGTTGATGTTGCTGGTTACAGCATTGGCATAAACGTTCCTAATCTGGCAATGTACACTTTTCCTCCATATAAAACTATTTGGTTTTGCTTTGGTACTTGTTTGACTGGCAGAAAGCACTGTTAGAATACATATTTGCATTAAAATAATGTAAATAATTAAATATTAGAGCTAATGTATGTTTTCTATGATTTACCAGGTTAAAAATAATAAAAATGGCTTACCAACTCAAGTACAACAAGAACAATCAAAAGCAACCCTATTCACAAAAGCATTGCTTCTCATCTGAAATGAACTGTGGAGAGATTTTTAATGTTGTGCGAATCTTTATATTAATCATGAATGAAGTTGAGAAGAGGAAGCAAGAGCTGTAATAAACCTTTCTTAAAAGTATTAAATGTAGGCATAAAATATTATAGACCCTTTTTATGACCTTGCTTACGGAAATTTGGATGTGCCATTGCTCCAATCTGTATGGCTACAGTATGTGAATGGCAATATCTCCTTACGATGCTGCAGATAACGCAACTCAGAAATTCATTAGAGTATTAGATATCCTTTTTCCCATATGCAAGCATTTTAAAATACTAGCTTTCTGAATATTTTAAAACATTGTCCTTGTAGATCTTATACTTGCAGTATCAAATAGTTCAGTGTTGTGTTCTAACCAGAGCCAGAATGATGTTCTAGTGTTACATTTAGGGTGCATTTAAAATACCCAACGGGGTACCTTTTTCATTCAAACAGGGTTGTTGAATTTAGTAGAGTTTTGATGTTTGTACTTGAACTTCAGGTACTGAGATACATTAAACTTCAGCTTACTTTGGGAAGTGAAATGTAAGATGGGTAAAAAGCCCTCAAATTTCAGCTTAGTTTCTGCATCAGGAGTCTCCTAAACTATGGAAATGTGTGTTACAGAATTTTCTCACTGAAGCTAAAAGGATTTGGCACTGAACTAAATGGGATCATGTTTAAGTATAGAACCAAATCATTGCTTTCTATAGAAGCCTCTCTCAAACTATGCCATCTAAAGGAGATAGTAAGAGGAGAATGATCTTTGTGGCCTGCATGTACATATGAAAAAAAGGTACAGCAGACATGCTGCTTAAAATAAATATAAACAGCTTAAAGCTTAATATTTTTCAAAATTACTTCAGCATAAAACATGCAGGTAGTACTGAATTCTGCTGAGGAAGAAGTCTTATTAACCCTGTTAATAATTTAATCTACAGTGTATTTTTAGAGATCATTTCATGATAGCGAAGTAAAGCTTTACATTCCTTCTGTGAATCTCATAGTTTGTCCCTGAAATGAGGTCTAACTCTCTTTTTAAATTATCCCATGTTTGAAACGGTGATATGTGAGAAATAAGCATTCTTTGGTTATTTCCTTGTTTAAACACTTCAGTGTCTGGAAAAGGAATGTTAGAACTGATACATACATGAAAATTGCTTGACCTTTCATACACAGTAAGAAATAGTAGATGCAGGATCTGCTTAGTATTGATTTGTTCTTTGTAAAGGTCATCAGCTGGAGACCATATGGGTGAGTGACATATGAGCTCTGCATGCTCTCCTCTTTAATGACACCTATTCACTTGGAAGCCACCTTTCAAAACTGGGATGGTGTTCAGCCCTTTTACGTGCTTATTTTATACTGCCACATGCAAATGCTGCTTTTTCTGGCCCAGCTGTTCAGCTGTAGGACAAGTCTGAAATGTCACAGCCAGTGAAGATAAGTGGGAAGGCTGCTCCTGAGATTGGCTCTGTATGGTGAATGGAAGTACCATGAGAAGACAATTATGAATAATGAATAGTTTTTCTTGAAAGCGCAGAATAGGCAAGAGAGGTGATCATCTTTGTGATGGTCCATGTAATGATTTTACATAGCAGTGCCATGGAATGATCCCAGTGTGCCCACACTGATCTGGGGCACGAGCAGTACCTGATTCTGTGCTCTCTTATGTGCTGAGCAGCAGCCCATCAAGAACTTCAGTACAGATGCTTTCTCATTTTTCATTTGATAACACCTGTCCTTTTATGCAACTGTGGGAACTTACGTTTTAGTTTGCAGTACTAAAAGAAAAAAGATAATCGAATGAGTAGTAAGCATAAAATAAAAATCTCAATTTTATAAACAAGGTTTTTTGGGAGTTGATCTGTTACTTTTTGTGGTTTTACTCTTTGTAGTCCTATGCAGGCAGTGAAAAGCATTCAGACATACTATTTCTTTAGAATGAGTTTAAAAAACAGTGAAATCTGTCTGCTTTGTAACTTTGCTGATGGACTTTCATTTCTATTTTTATAAATTCATTATCAGTTACTTTGATGTGCTGAAGCTTTAGAAAGGAATGTGTTAATATTATCTTAGTCTTCTGCTAGTCAGCTTTATACCTTTGTGATGAGATAGCAGTGAATAATATTTGTACGTTCATGGTGATGCTCTCTGAGTTGCAGACAGACAAATCTGGAGTGTTTCATTTATTGAAAGGAAAAAGAAATGCTTCAGTAAATAGAATTAAAATCTGGAGGTCCAGATTGCTAGAGTATGAACACAAAATTTATTAGCTAACCTTGGGCAATCCGGAGTTTAATTTCTAGGAGTGGTTAGTGTGTTTTGCAGAGATTTGAAGAAAGGTGGGTATGACCTTTATTTTTCTTCTATGTTCAGAGAAAAGGAAACCTGAGGAACCTGCTTTTATAGTGTGGCTGTGATAAAGAAGCAATGGAGAATAAGTTCCATTGCTTTCTAAAGAACACAGAGTGTAGGGAAT